AATCTGATCCCCAAAATCCCCATTGTATTTCAAAACCCACCTCAAGGACCAATATGAAGTCACTGTTCAAGTCCAAGCCCAAAAATTGGGCTGATTTGGTGCGGCAATCGCAATCTGCTCGTCTTCCTGTTTATCACCTTATGATCTGATTTGTTGATTTCTTGTGAGTTTCTTTTTATTTTAATTTATCTTTCTGTAGCTTCTTCGTAGGTTGATGCTTAGCTTTACCTGTTTTATTTTCAAGTTTCTTTAATTGAATTTAGGGTTTCTGGGTTAGATGAATTAGTGGTTCACGTAGTTTGTGCGGATCTAAAAATAAAAAAAAATAAAAAAAAATAAAAAATTGTTAATTAAGCCTACTTTAAGATTCTTCCAGTAATAATTTAGTCAAACATGGATCTTGTTTTTGGTTAATTAGGGTGTAAAAAGATTGGATTGAGTGGATTTGGAACACATGTATGTGTTGCTTAAGCTTGTTTATATTCTAATTTCAGTTTTAATATTTTAATTTGAACTTAGTTTGGCTACCAATTGAATAAGTCAAAATTCAAGAAAGAGTTATATAGAACTTTGTCTCCATTTATATTGTAATAGTCTATTGATGATTTTTCATGTCTTTTACCAAATTGAATTGCTAATGTTTTGTTCAAAAGAGCTCTCCTTTATGCAATTATTCTTCCGTTATAGCCTTTTTTGGGTTGTTTGGGTTCGTGTTATACCCTTTCAGCCCGTATTTTCATACAGCGGGCCTTTCGGGAAATGCTGTGATCTCTATTATGTTCTGGGCTTTGCTAATCAGGTGAATTAGTAGTCCTGTCTTAGTTGGTACTCACACATTTTGTCTTTCCTTATAATATTTTATGTTCTATCATGTAACTTTTTTTAGGATATTCTGTTTGAGCATCTGTAATTGGTTAGAACGACATTGTGATAGATTTTGGATCTCAAATTGATAGGACTATTGTCTGTGCAGTAAAATTGATTCTGGTGTATGCTCAATTTGATTTTCTTTCATTTGAGGTTTATTGTTTCTATTGGGTTTTTGGAGGTGTAAGTTAAAGTGTTTCCCTTTTGCTTTATATTCTTTTGGGGTTATTGATCTTGTTGTTAGGTAATGTGTAATCTGTAAGCAGGTTGGGTAGTGATTTTGATTTAGTTCCCCCTATTTTCAACCACTCAAGTTATGCTATTTTACTCTCTCTTGTGTGTCTTTGTGTAGATGATGGAATTGGGGAAATATATCCAGCCTTTTAGACAAATTATTTATGGAGACAGTCAATCTGAACCCCTTTCCGATGCTTGTGCACAGATGACTCAAGAGTTTTTTTGGGAGGATACCCTCTGTCTGTTTATTGTATATCTTTCAGGGGAACTTCGAGGTACTTTTGGAGAATTTCAACACTGCCAAAGTGTGTTGTGTGCTTTTTGTTAAGAATTAAATTATTCTGCTGGCATCTAAAATATATTGAATTTTAATGTGCCAGTTCTTTCCCATGATGATTGAATGATAAACGCGACGAGTAATTAGTTAAATATTTTCAGGACCGCAAGAATTCTACCCAAATTGTAGCGAATCTGCAGAGGCAACAAGTTCAATGCAGGCTGATTGCTTGTGATTATTTGTACAAGAACTTAGACCTCCTCGACGGTCTCGTAGCAGGATAGGTTTGCAATGAAAGATGTTAGACCTCTCGAGTCTTTTGGTTATGTTATGCAATCAATATAAGCTAGTCGAGTACATTACACATTTTAAGAATTTGATATGAATTGAGATTTTTCAAATTTAGTACCAGTGATATTGATATATAGTACTTGTTTCTATTCAATTAGTACCTACTTTAGTCAATAAAAATGGATTACTGTAATTTCTGTCAACGTTTGTGAAATTAGTACTAGTCCTATAGTTAAACAGTGCTCATTAAATAGTGGTTTAGTACCCAATATCGGGTTTTAGTACCAACTCCAACGAATATATATAACACCAAATTTTAGTCTTAAATGATGTTTATATTACTCAAAATCACTCACACATTCGTTTCTATGAGATTCAAAATGTGTTTAATTAAGTTTCATCGCAAATTGGTCTTTAACTCAACACACTAATGAACAAACACTACTAATACACTTCAGCTCATTGAATGATCATACATGATTACTTTAAATTCTACCTATGTTTTTAAATTCGACTATTTTTGACAAAATCATGCGTGAACGATCCACGTGACATGGTAGACATGACGGATTAAAGAAATCACGATTAATAAATAGGTACCAGTTTTACAACAAACAGTACTAATAGTTCTTTTACGCAGTACATGATTTTCATCAATTAGAACCTACCTTGGTTAAGAAAAATGAATTATTCAATTTTCGTAAAGATTTGTGAAATTAGTACCAGCCCTAGAGTTAGATAGTACTCATTAAATGTTACCAGATATC